GAGTACAGCTGGGACAATTGGTTCTCCTCACTGATTCCGGGATTATCTGGGGTGTTTAGACCTTTAGTTTTTGGTATATTGCTTTTGCTTGAAGTGTTGCTGCTAATCATCTTGCTGTTTAGGTGTTGCTCTAGTGTTCTGTCTTCCCAGGCGAGCTCTGTCATGTTCCAGCGAACTTCCCCTTATCCATACGGGGATGATCCTCTCCTCCCGGCCTGGCTCTTCGACCCACAGCCCCAGGTCGTCATCAATATGACCAGCAACGCCAACTCTGCTGGTGACTCGTGGTCCATCCAACCCTGACTTTCCTTATCACTTAGCTGTTCCCTAGGTTTCCTAGCTCTCAACAAGGCCACACACTTCCACCGAAAATAATATTCTGGCCTGTACATTCCCCTGTTACAACAACCATTTAATGTTAGCACCTGCATGCGACAGTGTGGAGCAAAATCAACTCCATGTATTGTTTATCCCACTGAGGATACTGCACCTGGGAGACCCCACACCCTTTACCATGTACGCATTCTCCAAACTATGGACGTCCATCTTTTCAGAATGCTGCGAAATGCGCGACATATCTCTCCTTCTGTCAGTGGTCGACTTCATATTTGAATCTCTGAAAGGTAGGCGTGGATAATTTTACGTAACTATAACTTGAAAGAGTGATATATATGCCATTATAGCAGTTTGTCAGCAGAGCTCAGTAAAAGTCAAGTTAGCAGGACGCCATCTTAGACTCTGCCAGGACCTCCTGCAAACACTTGCGGCACGTAACACATGTGACGCTGTGGTCCAGCATTGGCGCAGTATGGCCACAGGGGGCGCAGCTTTCACAGGAGCCTGTGAATACCTACAATGATTTACAATGTGGGCCAGGGGGCCTGCAATTTCTAGTTGCTCCCCTGCCCATTGGTGGGCAGAGTCAGTCTGCAGTTGCTATGCTGTTGTCATTTCCTGTTTTATATGCATTTTAATTTCAGTACTTCCTGTCCAGTTATTTTTAATGTAGATGCAAACTGTTGCATTTAACGCTCATTCTGGTTTGCTAATGGACTGCACAAACACATTTTGTTCTAGCCTTTTTGAAGTTTTGAAAATGACAAAGTAAATTATTGCTGTATATAAGAGTTTACGGTTTGTTTTTTTGTACTTTTAATAAAGTCTCTTCCCTCTCATGAAAACAGTAGCCAGAATGCTAATTCCATGTACTATGATGCAGAAGACACCACATTAACCAGCATATTGGGTAAATGGAAACTATGCTATGAGATCAGATATGAAATTATGGAAATTTAATTACTCTTCGCTTTTACCTTCTTTGACTTGTAACTTCAGAGTGCAATGCCAACCCCCAAACTCATCAGGAAAAAGTTTTATAGGGTTGTTTAAAATGCTTTATTGTGCACATACAAGTAAACAATATTTTACAATAGATGATCAGACGAGGCTATTTCTGTGGAGTCTCTGTAGTTTCCAAGAAGGGTTACAGTCCCAGTTCATGTGGGCTTAATTCCACTGCTTAATTTGGTTTACTTTTTGTTATTTGCCTTTTTTGGGGGTGGATGTTATCATTTCTTGGGATGCATTTCGGCTCTAGAAAATGAAAGGCAGCCTCAGGGCTGAGAAGGGGGGGGGGGGGGGGGGGGGGGGGGGGGGGGGGGGGGGGGGGTTTGGGACTGAACCCCTACCCTGAGTACCACACAGGAACGCCTAACTTTGACAGCTCCACCCCTACCTCACGATTCCAGCTTGCACACAGCGGCTGTCGTTGGCACCAGTGTGAAAAAAAAAAAGTTGTGACATGATGAATTAAAATAGTTTGTAGGAATACTGTAATATACATAAATCCTGTGGAGGAGTCCTGTCACGTCACCATTAACACCTGATTTCTCAGCATTTAAAGTTTCAATATATTAACTATATACACTTAGACTTGCACGTTAATGCATCAGGTATATGTTATGCTAAACAAGAATTTAGAATATCACACCACTCAACTAAGTGACAAGCTGCATTAGCAGAATAATCAAGAAAATTATATAAAGTTCAAAGGTGGATGATGACATGGCTAAAAAGAATCTCTCTTTCCAACTTCCGAATTAGTTCTGAGGTAATAGTGTTTCTTCAAACTGAGCAGGACGAGTCCTGTCGAACTGGTGTGATGTGCACGTTCCTTTCAATAAACCAATTTGTACATACACATTTACAGCATAGAATGACAAAATCTCTCTTAACATGAGCCATCAAAATTAAACAATTTCTCTTGACCGACGCATGAGGAATGCGGTACATCGATCTTACATCATAAGATTAAAAATGAAAACGTCTTTATAAAACAGGACAGGTGTTCATTAACAGAAAGTTTGTTTAATCCATACATACATAGCTTGTGCAAAATTTTAAAGAAATATCATTAAAATTAAATAATGAGGGAGAAAAATGCATGCCTGTTGCAGGGAGCTCCACTGGTGCACGGTCTCATAGCTTTGACCCTTGGAGAATGAATTTCGATCCTATGCTCAAAGTCCACCGTTAATTTAATGCTGTAAAAATCAATACCAAGGTCCAACATTGCATTATAAACCAGCTCAAAGGTCTCTATACGTATCTTTTCTGATTCCTGATGCCCCTTCAACCTCCCGATTATACATAAAACGTAGAGCATCGAATCACAGCAGATAATACTTGGCCTTCAATGTCCCTGCTTGGCAGGTGGTCATCTTAAGCATCAGATCCATTGACGCTGAATGGAGAAAAGGCTCCTGGAGTTTCCCCTCTGCATCCCTAACAGCACAACCTTTTTGGAGCTGAAAGTTCAGTCTGTCCGGTCAGGTCTGGATGATAGCCAATGGCATTTGTGATGACAGGCAGGGGAACCAATCGGCTGGGCTTGGAAAGCTCCCCCCCCCCCCACCCAGGGCCCTAGAACTCGTCGTCTGAAGTGATCAGCATAATCTTGTCGTTCTTCTTGGGCTTCTTGGAGCTGGCGATGGCGGCGGCCACCTTGCCGTTTTGCTCCACCTCCTGGGTGGACTGCTGCGTGTACTGCTGGTAAGCTGGGGAGAAGTTGTGGATGGCGTCCTGCACCATGTCGTTAGGGTTGATGGTCTCCTTCAGCCCGCTGGAGATGCTCTGCATGGGCGCACCGTTGGCTGAGGGAAATAAGACGAGAAGACAGACGCGCTGGTCAAAGACAGACACAGGGGGGCGCTGTTCAGGGCCCGCTCTGTGCACATGGCGGGGGGGCTCTCTTACAGAAGCTCCCTCAGTAGAGAAAGTTTCTCTCATGCAGTTATATATAGTTTGAGGTCATGTTCTGCATGCACTCTGATAAACGGCTCCCGAATCGGCCTCCAAATTAGCTACGCTCTGGCTATTTTAATTCTGGGTTTAAAAACTTGACTCCCCCCAGCTTACTCAGGCCTCGCTAGCCATCCACAGAGTCTCAGCGATGCACTGTTGCTTCCGCCTGCTGTTCAGGAGGCATGTAGGCCTGAAAGCTGAAGTTGGACACAACACTGAGGCCTCTCGGCAGCTAACGGCTGCCTCCGTTTTGCTCAAATGAAATTAGATAAAAGAGGAACAGAAGCTCTTAGACGTTTAATAGGATTTATTAATAGAATAGTGTCGTCCCAGACCTCGGAAGCTAGCTGTGGGGGTAGCATAAGATGCTTTAATCCGTTGTGTGTGAGGCCCTACAGCCACCGATTTGTGGGTAACAGTCCAGACGCTCCTCTAGGTGTTAAACATGATTTAGGGGTAGGAGGTGTGCCTACAGCTGAGGGTGTAGGATGAGGGCAAAGCGGGGGACCTTTTCCCAAAACATACGGAGCAGCGTTTCCCAATCCGGTCTTTTGGAACCTACAAACGGGTCCACGTTTCTGATCCCTACCAGGGGCTGGGAGGGACCAAAAATGTGGACCGGCTGAGAGTCCCCGAAGACCGGATTGAGCGACACTGGTATAGAGGAAAGCCACGCATAGAGGTTCAGGGTCTGCGGCTATGCTACTGGAGAAGACCCCCCCCCCCATGTTTCAGGCTCCAGCTTTAGATCATGGCCAGCAGGGGGCGCCGCAGGCTGGACACAGCCCTCATGATGTGAAACCGGCGTGTGAAGGAAACCCACCCAGCTACAACGAGACGTTCATTATCAGGGAAATTCTATCTGAAAGGCGTTAGAATACGCACACTGTGTTAACTTTTAAAACAAAAGTCACCAGTTAGAGCTTTATGCTCCAATCCGGGACAATCTATCCCCCGAACCTCATTGGTATTCCGCTGATCTCTGTGACAAACCCAGGAAGACAAGTGTAACTAAATCACAGTAGGCAGGAGTCATATTAAGCGGTAACCCTGCCCATGCTTCCTGCTTATGGATCAGTGATATCTGTGTCTTCAGGAAACCAGCCAATCACAGGCTGAGATACATGCACAAAGTAGCATGTTTATCTGGGACCGCAGTGAAAGATAGCCGGGAATTGCAAGAAACAGGCCAATCACAGGCTGCAATACATGCAATACAAGTAACATGTTTAGCTGCTTATAAAAATGACTATTTGTCATGAGGCACATCACTTATTAAAATGAAGTTTTTGTGGAATTTTTTTATCTTTTATGGTGGCATAATGTTTAAGTAGCCAGCTATAGTCTTTCATTTGTCTTATCAAACTAAAAGTGAATCATAATTACACAGGGAGGTTTCTTTAAGCCATCGAAATCCACAGTTGAGGTTACTCATATTCTATTTTCCACAAGGCATCCTACACAGACACCAGCTCAGCCTGTCCAGTGACAAACAACACCCCACACTGGGTCAAGTCTACATTTGCCTACTCACAGCGGGGGATCTCACTAAACCGAATCGGCCATCAGCTCTGATCTCGAGACTCTTCCTGAGAGGCCGGCCCCAGCCGCACTCTGCCAGCTGACCGTAATGCTCTGGTTTACAGTTTCTGTCCGGAATACGTACAGCTTACGAAAGAACTCCTGAGAATACTACAGGTGCGATCATGGTGATGAAATCATCAATGCATTAGTCTGTCTCCATGATGACGGTCACACCCTGCTGTGTCAATGGCGCCGTGGAGACGACGCCCCACCCAGCAAGTGCTCCCCATCTGCCCTGGCTACGAACATCACGTGACCAGATTTGGTACCAGTCAGGCACAGACCTGCTTAATAACGCTGTTCTTTCTAGATACCCCAGCAGTACATCCCCGTTTATGTTTCCCGCGATGTTTCACTTTCCCAGGTTTCAGGCAAGGCAGTGAAGCTATACTCCCCCCAACACCGCCCCCTGCTGACAGCAAGAAGCATGGCTTTAACAAACTGCATCGTCCTCTAGGTGGACGGTCGCGATAAATAATGTGCTACAGGGGACGGCAGCTTAGCTGGCTGCAGAGCTTAGCCTTAACACCACGGCTGAGCACGCCCACCGACGCTGCGCTCCGCTGGCCATGCCGCCTGGGGGTACAAGCGCAGACCACCCCCAACATCAGGCTGGCCTCTTAAAGCCACTGAGCGTGAACGGGCATGGATGCACTGCAGATGAAGGTCTGTTTTGGTGCTGGGGAGGGCGTGTGGGAACATGCGGAGTGCTTCGTGAGGACATGCCGTGCATAAACAGGAGCCTGTTACGGCATATCACACTGTGGCTGTAAAACGCAGAGCACTTAATATTAATATTAATTACATCTTGAAGTGCAATTATACTTGTTCTATTGAAAAGGATCATTTATTAAACTGTATATTTAAGGTTGCTGCTGCATCGCTTTAAAAGCAGCCGGGAATGTTAGTAATGTCATACAGTACGTGCATAATGGGGTCTGGTTTTCACGTGTTCTGCCCGATCAGGACTCCCCCATGAGTATCGGGGCTATTTCAGCTCCACATTCCCAGAATTCCCAGCCGCCCGCTAAATCCCCCCCCCCCCCAAACTGCTATTTTTGTCTATTTGGGGGGGTCTTGATCGGGGGGTACTGGGGGGTACAGTACCCCCCGATCAAGACCCCCCCAAACCAAAAACTTTTCTTTAGCGCCCAAATCCACCAGGGCCGCCTTATGTCAGTCACTATGCCGTCCTCCGCACAGTGTTTATGAAAGAGTGGCCTGAGTCCTACAGCTGGCACTAATCAGTGGGTCTGGCAGAAGATGCAGCTGGGATCAATTAAAATAATAAAGTAAGCCCACTCTGCATTGTCGACAAATTAGCATTTAAAGCTAACAAACTAGAACGTTCTCCAGGAGTGATTAAATGGAGCCGTTAGTCCAGTCTAAGACCACTATGACCTGTTTGGTTAGCCAGGCAGAACGAGTCTGAGGGTCACACCCCTTTTTCTCTTTCATTTCCTCCCTTCTTTCAGCCTAAGTACAGGTGAAAACACGGCCTGCCAGCACCTCTCAGCCGCTCCAGTGCACTGAGGACGTGGTTAGTGTGAGCGGGGGAAACTTTGTCTCCGTGTCAGGAAACAGGAAACGGGGTGATGGTAAGAGCATATGGGCTGTAAGCTGCCTGGCTGGCATGACTATCAATGGGGAGGATCGGAACCGGCCCAGCCAACATGAGGGGGTGCCGCTGTGGTTTAGAGCCCTCTCTGGTCACACTCAAAAACGCACAGCCATTCAGCTCCCACTGCTGGACACCTGCTCACGTCACAATCAGGACGGGTCAGGAGCAGAGAAAGAGGACTCTGCACGTGGATGGATGCGACCAGCTGAGGTACCTGGAGCCTTGTTGTCCTTCTCCCGGTACACGGTGCAGGTGAAGGCGTAGCGGAGGGCTATGGCAGCGAAGAACATCTCGATGCAGATGATGAAGTTCTGCCAGCCCGCTGCCACGGTACCGGCACCCACCTCGTGCCCGTCGATGACCAGTGCCTCCGGGATGACGCCACATCGCTCCAGGATGGCCAGAACCATGCCTGCGGGCGCCAGACATCAGCTGGGTGGGTCACATCATAGGAACCGCAACCTACCCACCAATCATTACTGTTTTTACAGCTTGTCTTTTTACACAGCCAGGCTTCATTTACAGCATGTAATAGCCAATCCTTCATTTTTAAGCTACTGACATTACTGCAAAATATGAAAGTATATTCACCATGAGTCCAAAAGCTGCTCATATTGACAGTTTGCATTGATACAGTACGTCATCCATGGTTTTGGCTAGTTACAGCCTCTTTGGTCAACTAAAATATTGATTATGAAACAGCGATCAAACATGTCGGAATTATGCATAAATGGAAATGGAAAACTACCTACCTTAAAGTGTCAAATATATTTTGCATTATTTCTACCATTTTCAAATGTAATTTAAAAACAAACGGAGCTGACCTTGCCAGAAGGAGAGGAAAATGACGGACTTGATGGTGAGGAACTTCAGTACCGGCTCGTATGGCCGCAGGAGCTCGCTAGTGGCGAAGTAGAAGAGGAAGAGGGCGTAGAGTGCCAGGCTAACAGAGATGTTGTAGATGATGGTGATGTAGAGGTAGCCCCCGGTGACACTGCGGGCCAGGGGACAGACAGAGGGGGGGTCATTTCATCGGTACCGTGAACCTGGACTCGTCAACATTAAAGATGGCCGCTTAATTAGCTACATCAAGCTATCACCACAGTCAAAAACCATATTACTAGTGTAAATACAATCATGTAGATGCCGTAAAACGCAATGAGGTAAAAATAATCAAAAGTAATCAGGAATAAACATCCGGGGCCCCTCACTTAAAGTCTCCGTCGTGATATTTGCCGAAAGCCTGAAGGAAGATGGTGATGACAGCCATGATGGGTTTCACGACACAGAACTGCAGTGTCGCCTGGGAGATATAAACACAGAGAGACAATCGTTAGACAGGCGGCGCAGGGCCAGCCAGGAACTGGCGGCTGCGTTCACCCCTCCCGCAGCGCCAGGTGCCATGATCAGAGCTTGCATTCCATATGCTAACTATCCCTGATATAAAAAAAAAAGCCTCTGCTGCCCGATATTCCCACCCACCCCGCTACCTGTAAATGTGCTATGTAACGCAAAGCATACAAATTTGAATTTCATGATTAGTTGTCATTATTGACACACCACAGCACACAGTGCACAACAAAACGTGTTCTCTGCATTTAACCCATATGTGACGATGTGACATAGCAGGGGGAAGCTAATTCAGCGCCCGGGGAGCAGTGCTTGGGGGTGGTACCTTGCTCAGAGTAGCTCAGTGGTGCCTTGCTGGTCGGGGATTCGAGCCTGCAATCCTTCAATTACGTGTGCACTTCCCTAACCATTAAGCCATCACTGCCCACATGCCCAAAAAAAATACATTACATAAAAAAAAAAAAAAAAAAAAAAATCACCATGCTGAATTATTTCTAGAAAGTTTAACCTTAGCACACACAAACATTTTGCTAAAGGGCTTTGGCTCATAGGTGCCTGAAAAGCTGTGGTGGTGAAATCATGATGTGCACCATCGTCTGCGGCGAGTGGGATCATCAAACCCCAAAGTCTCAGGCAGAGGACCAACACCAAGCGACTGAATGGTATGTCCATCAACTATACATGTTCAGGGGAGGATGGCATTGATTTAGCCATTTCTGAGGATTTTCAAAGCATTTTCAATACGACAAAACCAGAAATCACATGGCTAAATGGGTTAGACTGCCCCCCTACAGCCTGTAATCAAAGTCACAAATGGTCCATTAATATAGTAAGACTCCCTAGATGGACCCACAGTGGAAGTATGAGCAACCAGGGGTACAGGTTGACCTGGAATGCCGCCGCGGTCCGATTTTGGTTCTGCACATCCTGCCATGCAGGGCTGTGTCCACAGTACGCATTCTGGACATTAAGGTGCCGGGGTCTCTAACAGAGGGGCTCTGTTTCTAAATGTGAACATTACATCCAAATGCCGCTACAAATGGGCACAGTGTTGAACTGCAAGTATATGTAGAGAATAAAAAACATTTTTAAAAATAATCTGCTCTTAAATTACCTATATTATTTGCATTTATTAATTCTGAAACTTTGTATTTTGATTATTATAACAAACTATTTTTGAAAAAGTCCATTATGCTTTTCGAAAAAAATCACAGCTCTGCTTTTTATGCAAATTAACAGTAAAAATTGAGCTGGGCTTTTTTAGAAATTGAAGTCCCTACTGGCCACCTGACGCTCTACTGCCCAGATTTCACTTGTAACCTAATCGCTGTCATTCAAATTGATGTAAATCAGCACAGTAGCCTTCACACACCTGTCAGTGCATCCAGAATGCAAAGCTGCTTCCCTGACCCCCCCACTGAGACTCCGGTAGGGGTGATGCTGATCCCCTCAGAATCTCAGAGGCCTGATTGTCTTGTCTGGGCGCACACCTCCCTATCACCTCCTATTGATCCCTAGGAATGCTACACTCGCTATGGCACAAGCCAAAACATTTCAACCAAACATTTTAACTCATCACTTAGACATGCGGTTGTCAATTATTTACTCAGACGACATGTCAAATCTGACATATTTAACACACAAGTTTCACTGATATTTTTGGTGTTCTAATTTAAATGTAATCAAGAACCAAACACATACACTCTAATTTCGACACATAAGAACGGCCTTCCCCTAAAGTGCCACACGCCCATATCCCATCTTATGATGGTGGGGGGTGGCTTTGTTTACCTGCCCCTACTTCAGTATAATATTCACCCTGCAGTTGGTTCAACGTGTCCCTTACATACTGTCTTCACCAGTCCCCCAGAGCTTGCCTCGCAGAACTGAGTGAGACCTGACCAGCAATATCATGTCACGTTTACTCCAAATAGGTTTTCATTTGCTCTGCCCATCCATGCTGTATGAAATGACAGGACTGTCTCCCCAAAGGGGTAGCCAACTCAAGCAGTCCTTTTGAAAAACAAGCAAGCATGACCAGAACAGCATTTTTTATTTCCAAATCCACAACATACCCTCCTGCCCCATTAATTACTAGTCCTTTAAAACTCATACACACCATTCCATTAACTTCCATTAATATTCAGTAGGCGTGCCATTAAGTTACATTCATACAACCGTACCGATGAGAAATACTGACCTGTTTGCAGAAGCGCAGAAACCCAATAGAATAGCTGGTCCCACCCAAACAGCATGTACCATACAGGCAGCTGGACCTACACGCCAATGAATACATATTCATTACCAATTTCACCATATTCAGTATATTAGATAAGCCAGTGTTTCCCAACCCGGTCCTCAGTCTGTTTTTACTCCCTCCCAGCTCCCTACCAGATAGTCCACAAAGCAAAAATTTGGGCTGTCTGTGGGTTCCCAAGGACCAGATTGGGAAACACTGCAGTATGCAATAAAATCTCAAGATATCCCACCACCTTTCCATTCAAAATGACACCATCCAAAGTAGGGTTGCAAAATACTGGAAATTATCCAGTTAATTTCCCATATATTCTCATTAATTCCCCAGGAAACTTTCCAACTTTGAAAATATTCCAACTTCCCCAGTTTAACTTCCCATGGAATGGAAAGATTCTGGAATTTTTCCACCCATTTTAATCTGTTTTTTACACTCCAGGAGGCAGGGGCTAAGGATACATGTGAAAGAGGCCCATTGTCACGGTAACCCTCAGCGTTGCTTTATCGCATGCCACAGCTCAAACACTCCCCCTAGTGTCAGGCCATGGAACCAGGTTGACAAAACATGGATGGGTTGGGCGGGGAGGGATCTCCTGCACTGTGGCTACACTGGGGCAGTGTGGAGTCAATGTGAAGATCTCACACCTTCAGTTTATCCATGTGGGGGGGGGGGTGGTGTTCAGCTTGAGTTTATTCAGGTTAAAATATGAAGCTCCTTGAAGCTCTCTGGATTAAGTTCAACTATCTGAAAAATGAAGTATTTTATTTATAGAAGTATAAATGCCTCATTTAGACTGACAAAATGCTGTTCTAGGACATTCCAGAAGCATACATCATGGTGCCCTGTGGATTTATTTTCTCATACAGTGGTCATACACGTCAACCTAGCTGCAGTGAAGACAATGAGATGGGTGACGAAAAAGCAGAACAATCCGGTGAAAGCAGTGAGCCATCAAATAAAGATGGAAATATGGGTTAAAAAACTTCAGCCTTGTGGGGAAACCGTGAGACTTGACACCAATGAGAGTCTGTTTCCCACAAGGCAACAGGAAAGTGAGAACTGTGGGGGGGTTATGTCATGTGACAATGGAAGGGGCGGGGCCAAAATCCAAGCACAGGGGCATGTGCGTGGCACAGACGCGAGGACACTCACTGGATGGGCTTCCCTCGGATTTCAGCCATGATGGCGCTCTCCCCTCCCAGGTACTCGAACGAGAGGCTCAGGAAGTTGTATATGACAAACGCTGTACAACAAAGAGGAAAGAGACAGCCAGGTTTAGGGCTTTCTTCAAGCTTTTGACAAGTGTCCTTCACACACAGGGGGAAAGCTGACCAAGGTACTAATCAGTTTCACTCAGGCAGAGCCCTCACTGTGTTTGCCGGCTCTGAAGATCCACCACCATATCACGTGCTCTAATCCTCTAACCCTCAGCTTGGCCAGCGAGCACGCTAAGGTCAGCGCATCCAGTTCCCATATCTGGTGAGTGAACACCCATGCAGAAGGACTAACATATCACAATAACAAACCAGAAATACGGAAGGAGTGAGGTCAGGCAGGTGCAGTGGTATTATTAATGTTACACTCAATCTCTTGTGTTTGATTCAACCCAGAATACAAACCGACAAAGAAAACCACAAGCTCCACCCCTCCTGAGTGCGTCATTATTAACAAAGAACAACTAACGGGCCCAACATAGCAGTCATTAAAATACTAAATCAATGACAGGACTCTGATGGACCCACCCTGCCCCCATCGTCCCTTCCCGACATACGACGGTGTTAAGATGAACATTATTAGACAGGAGATCTTCAATCCCTGTTTTTGGTGCCTACAGGTCAAGCCCTCATCATGTAAAGGAAACTGGCAGGTCTGGGACCACACCCACAAAGAACAATGATGGCTTTTTCCTCTGGGAAAAAGACAGATGAGAACAGCGTGAGAGAACAGGTCTGATCAGTTTAGTGGGCCACACCCCTGCTGGCCCGATGCCCAACACAACACCCATAACTTCATGTCTCGGTTCGTTTTACACCTTCCATAAGATTTATGCACAACGCTATTTATTAATTAACACTTAATTTATTGGAGACCTAGGTTAATTTAGCCACAATCCTGACCAGATAAGTGTTCAGAGGATGGATAGACAGACTCATCTAGCATGTCACAGATTATCACACAGGGAATCCCTTCATCATCTTCATCTGAAGGGCTAGATCAGTGGTTCTCAATCCTATTCCTGGCACCTACACCCCCCCCCCAAATTGTTTTCATCCCAACCCACACTGCTTTCACCCTGCCACATTCATTATTAGCCTATTGAGGACCATATGAGCCTGATTAAGGTAGGATTTGAATGAAAATACTGTGGCGGGGAGGGGGGGGGGGTGCCAGGAACAGGACTGAGAACCACCAGGCTAGATTAACAGCAAAAGAGCGGATAGACAGTCATGCAGCGAAGAGGCCAGCAGGGGGCAGAGGCGCACTCACCTTCGTAGCAGTCACGGATGGAATCGAAGTAGACATAGTATTGGTCGTTGCTGATGAAGAGCAGGCTGAGCCATGAGTCAAAGGCGTAGATGGGAACGATGAAAAGGATACGGATGATGTAGCGCTGCTCATTGGGGACGGTATAGGAGCGCAGGTGCAAGTAGATCTGGGGGGCATGAACAGGATTAAAGGAGCCGCAGTGCCCATCTCATTCATAGTGCAGCCAGGACGTGTGACCAGAATGTGTGACCAGAACGTGTGACCAGACAACTTTAAGAGGGTTTTCTCAAGGATGGTTAGTCACAATGATTTGTGTGGGGTCTTTCTGGTGCAAATACAGACAAAATACAGACAAAAATGAGTGACATAGGCGGCTGCCTAGGGAGCCGATTTGCCAGCCAATTTCAGACGGGGGACGCCTAGGGCGACACACTGAGTTGGACCAGCCTTACTGGAAAGACTTATTGAAACAGACATGCAAGAAAAGGAACTGAGAGCTAGACAGAACCTGCAGGTACCAAAAGCAATTGGAGAACTCAGCACTGTGCGATTGGAACAGCAAGACCATTGTCTGCTGAATATGGAAAGTCAGCTTGAATGCAGCCAAATGTGTGAACACTTCCAATCACACGCGAGATGGAGGTCCACCTTAAAACATACAAGACCATCACCTACCAAAAGCTTCTTAACTACACTCTGCTTACAGTTACAGCCTACTGGCTCTCAGGAACACGAGATACATGTAATTACTGCCACACAATGGAGACCGAACACTAAACATTATTCTCAACTTTCTATCCGCAGGTAAACACTGAACCTCCAGTACAGCTAGAAACATCCCTGGATAAAAAAATATCAGCTTCAATCAGTTCCCCATTAAGTAGGTGCTTAAGGCAAAGTGCTGTTCAGTGCAACTCATATGGGCTGTGGTTCTGTAAGAGAAAGCCAATCCCCCCCCCCCCTACTCTAGAAAGAAGCATGCAGGCCCCATGAGGCGAAAGGACCCAGTAGGAGAAGGGAAGGCTTTTGCAGCTGGTTTCTGACTGACCCAGTGTCATAGCAGCTTAGCAATAGGCTAAAGTTTTCCAGCTAACTGTGCCCACCCTCCCCCACACAGTGAATGGCTTCTTTTTCCATATTTAACAGGCAATAAAGCTTACAACTGCATAGCCTCAAGATCTTTCAGTGTGTGGTGTGTTGAGCATTCAGCTCATTGGAATAGATCCAGTATCCCAAATCACTGGGCCATTTTTATGGGCTACGGCAGAGACAACATTCAGAAAGGTGAATGGCCTCACCGGTAAGTTAGCGTGCTGGCATACAAATAGCCCGGCTTGAAAAGTTAGCCAATGGTATGCTGGAGACCACTGAAACAGGCATTTACACGATGAGAGAGCGGACTGAGGCAGGGACTCACCATCCAAGCAGCAAGAGGACCCCTTTATTCTTCCCGGACCATTCACACCCAGCCAAAAGTTTCACTTAAAGGAAGCTGGGCTTTGCAGACACACAAAAACGGGTACAAATCAGCCAATGAGATTTTTAAACTCTCTCCCCTTAACGTTCAACCAATTATAACAGACTGAAAGTGAAGAAGGGCTCCCTGGCTGAATGCCATAAACCAAACTGCGAAGCATGCACGACAGAAGGGTGCTCTTGCACAGCTCCAGACTGAACGATGAATAGTTAAGGTGGTTTTTAACACCTTAACCATTCCGGGAAATTTTTCTGCTACCATCTTCTGTACTTGCACAACTCTCAGTGGCCCCCGCCCACAGATACCCAAGAACGGCAAATTAATTTTACAGTGATCTAGAGAGCAATTAGTAGTTTTTTTTAATTTTTATTTTGAAATCCTACAGCATATAGCTGAACAAACAGCAGCTCATTTATAGGTTGCGCAATCCATCGCTTTACCAACCGGGTGTCATACATTCCTGAGCTGTATGACAAACTGAAGCACACAAAACGCTCTTCAATCACACTTGTTTTCCTTTGGCTGCACACTTCCGCGGTGCACCACGTACTGCGCGGTTGCTAAACGCCCTCCTCGGGGAGGGAGCGCGAGCGGCATTTAAAAGGTCACATTTTACGTGCGACATTTTAACTTTGCACGGCATTCGGCAGGTGGGGTCACGGCCGACAGAGGCGGATTGGACACCAGAGCGTCCCGGAGAAAGTTAACAGTGGTTAAATTTCTGGGCTGCCGGAAGACCATTCCATATTAAAATCTTAAAATACAAAAAAAAAAAAAAAAAATCTGGATTTTTAAATTAGGGTTTAATCCTGGTTCTGCTGGCAGAAGGTTATGCTGTGAAGCAGACTGCTTCCAGGCTCAAAGTTTCTAAGACAACAGTACACAAGAATAAGGTGAAGCAGGAGACACCAGCCGGGTAGAGGGCTGAAGCGACTTCCTAATGTCAACTTATCCGGCAGTGTCTCATAAATCGGAGGATGACCTCAAGTGACCTTCAAAAGGAATGGGAAACATTTAGTGAAGGTGTGAAGTGCACTGCTAGGACAGTTTGTATCAGGCTCCTAGAAGCAGGGCTGGAGTCCCATAAAGCAAGGAAGAAGCCCTTCATTAATGAGGAACAGAGAAGAATCAGGCTGCAGTTTGGAAAAAAAAAA